TTATAGCTGATAAATTAGGAATAAATTTCGAAAAAAACTTGACCATACCAAGTATTCTAAGAACTTCTGACCTATTTTTAGGTGATTCTAAAGACATTACTGCTTCTATATTTTTAAAATCTGGTTTAACACCTTTTCCTGATAAGATATGTCCCATAAATGATACCTCAACTAATTTGTATTGAAATTTTTCCCAGTTAAATTTTATATTGTTATCAATAGCAGTTTGAAATACTTTTTTAAGAGCAATGTCATGTTCAAGTTCATCTCTACCCGATATAATAATATCGTCAAAATAGATATCAACATTATCAATGACACCAAACATTTCAAAGTTCTTCCGCTGGAAAATCTCTGGTGCAGAGCAAATTCCAAACGGAAGGCGATTGAATTTGTACCTTCCGAAAGGTGTGCTAAAAGTACATAAATCTGAGCTTTTTTTATTTAATTCAATTTGCCAAAACCCGTTTTTCATATCTATAACACTAAATATGTTTTTCCTGAAAGTCTACTTACTATATCATTACATGTTGGTATAGCAAAATGTTCTCTACGAATAAATTTATTAAGTGGCTTGGGATCTATACATAACCTTAGTTTATTTGAAGGTTTTTTCTCTACTATCAACAAATTGTTTACCCATTCAGTTGGATACTCTACTTTCTCAATAACTTTGTCTTTCTCCAAACTATCTAGTGTCTCCTTTAGTTTATCATGCATTGACAATGGAATTTTTCTACTATACTGAATAACTGGCTTAGCATCATCTGAAAGTTCAATATTACATTCTCCTGGCATTCTACCTAACCCTTGAAATATCGTATTAAACATTATCAAAATATCTTCTTTTTTAGTTGGCAAGGTGGTTTCTATGGCATTTACTCTTTTTATTAAGTCAAATTTAATACAATCGCTAAGGCCTAATATTGGTTCAGCATTAAAATCAACAATCAGAAACTTTAATTTACAGGAGCTATTTTTATACTGACATTCCAAAAAAACTTCACCTACTGGTTTAAATTTAAAATTACCATAAGCAACTAGGGTTGTTAATGTTTTATTAAGTAGCAACTTACTTGATAGAGAATCAAAAATATACTTAGGTAGAATACTGATATCAGCACCTGAATCTAATTTAAATTTTACCTCTTTTCCAGTTACCATCAATGTTTCATACCATGAATTTTTACTCTTGGAATGACACTCATATACATATATCAAATTGTCTTTATTTTCTTCCTCCTGGACTGTATTAACAGTTCTTTCTCCTCTAGGTGGATCAGTGTTCTTCTTACTACTACCTTCACATGTTTCTTCAATTCTATTAGGACAAGCTTTTGCAAAATGACCTTTAACTTGACAACTAGCACAAGTCTTGTTAAAAGCAGGACATCTGTTAGGAAAATGTTCATAACAGCACTTCTTACACAATAATTTTTTCAACGGTTTGTGCTGCTTTACAAAGTTAACATCTTCTTCTTTGGTAAGAACTTTAATATGCTCTTTGCTTAACTCAATACTCTTACAATATTCAAGAATTTTTTCAGTAGTAAGAGCCTGTTCTCTAAGGAGTCTGAGTTGACTTTCATTACATTTTAGCCCAATGATTAGCTGATCACGTATCATTCTATCTTCATAGGACTCACCACAGGTTGCTTTAGTGCATTTAAATTCGCATAATCTTGCTTGTTTCTTTAATTCAGTCAGGTACTGGTCTATAGATTGTTCATTACCTTGAACAAGATTATGAAACTTAAAGGTTTCCATTGGAACTATCTTTTTTGGCAAAAAGTAATCATCAAACGCACCTATTAATTTATCGAGAGTAGCCTGTTGGTCTTCTGTAAATGTATTATAAATATCAACACCTTCATCTCCTATAAAATTTAAAAGATTCGCAATTTTCACTTCTTCTGTTGAAGCACTCTTCCCACTAGCGGTAAGGTAAATTCTAAACTTCTGTTTCCATAAAAGCCAATAACTAGCTGGACTTTGATGCTCAAATAATGGACTAGGCGGTTTAAATTCCATTATTATTGTTAAAATCTCTAGAAAATCTTTGGATTGGCGGGCTTCTAACCTCACTATTTCCTCGTGGTTTCAAACCTAATCAACACTTCTACGTACTCAAAATTCGGGCAAACTAGCAGCCTTTACACCTGACACCATGTTTTGATTCCTTTGGTCATATATATATATTAAACAAGAAGGTTCACACAGAATCTTTATTAAGCAATCAATAAGCTTACAATACAAGCACTTACAAGTTACAAGTTACATGACCCTGGCCGGAATGGCGGTACCGGATGACATCTGTCTGTCATCGGTCTTCTTCTTTTGTATCTTATATCTAACATAATATATTACATTGGAAACATAGTTTTCTTACACCTATCTATAAATCTGGCAATCGTGAGTGTGTTAACAATTATAGAGGTATAACTATTCAATCAGCAATCCCGAAACTTCTTGATAAATTGGTATCGATAAATCTCACCTGCTGGGCTTGCAGAAACATAATTATTGATGAACAACATGGATTTTCAAACGGGAAGTCAACAGTAACGAACCTTGTCAATTACCAACAATACTTGTTGGGTGCATTTAAGAATAAAATTCAAGTCGACAGCACTTACACTGATTTTTCAAAGGCTTTGGGCCAGGTTAATCATAATCTTTTGTTCCACAAACTTCATGCATCTGGCTTTGGTGACCCCATTGTTAATTGGATTAAAAGTTTTCCTATGGGACGTAAATAGCAAGTTTTTATTAAAAATTATATTTCAAAAGAATTCCATTGTCGTTCTGGTGTCCCACAAGGTTCTCATTGTGGTCCCTTGTTTTTTTAACTTGTTCATTAACGGTAAGGCTATCAAAAATGATAAATCTGATAGAGATCTCTTGCAAGATGATATGTAGGTAAATATATGTTTTTGGTCAAAACAAAATAGTTTAAGCTTAAATCCAACTAAATGTTCTTGTGTTCATTTGGTCATATAAATAATCTAATAGCTACTAGATATGTTCTTAATGGTGTACTCTTGGATTCAATTTGACTGAGAGAGATAACTGAGAACTGAGATTTGAGTGTATTATTGATTGTACATTGACATTTAGAAGCCATTTTCTTAAAATCAAGGAAACTGGATTTCGTAATCTTGGTTTTATTTATCGTAACAGTCATGATCTCTCACCTATTGTATTGCTCTCTGGCACGCTCAGGTCTTGAATACTGCTCTGTTGTTTGGGTCCCCATTTCATCAAGTCTACATTGAAGGATTGAGAGCGTTCAGCGGAAGTGTCTAAGATCTTTAGCTTTTAAAACACATATTAATAAATACTAAAAATTATTTCATAGATTATTCTGTAATAATGTGTCAAATTAACATACTGTACACTGAAGAACCGCAGGTTGAGAGCTGATATGTTATTTTTGTTTAAAATTCTAAACGTTATTAATTGTTCCCGTTATTAGTAAATGTATACTTAAACACAATACATAAACTCGACACACTGCAATCTTTTATATTACTTTTCATAGGACTGATTATGCTAGTCATTTTCTATTGTCAAGAATGCTCAGCTCTTGCAATGACCTCCTATTGGATCCATTCTACCCAAACATTGATGTTTCCAAAAGACAACTTAGGGGTCTAATTATTAATCTAAATATGTGATTTTTTTTAACTTTTGTGATTTGATATACTGTTTTAATGTACAAATTTTTAACTGTTTCTTTGTTATTGTTTTAATGTTTATTGTACATAATCTTTACTATTTGTTGTATTTTATTGTAAATGGTTCTACCGTTGAAATAAATAAATTCTATTTTCAAGAGTTCTTTTGATGTAGTTACAGCTATTTGTTTCACTTAAATTTGTCTATCAATTAAAAAATTTTATATAAAAGCTATTGTGGGCCATTCTTCTAGCTCTAGCCAGGTATGCCAACACTTTAATACAAGAATAACGAGCAAGTATCCTTTAGCTTCTCAAAACACTGATGCAATGACATTTCCCCTCCCTACTGCCAACATTTACCTGAAATGTCTTACAATTTTACATGGGATGTACTTAAGGGTAATGGGATGTAACATCACTGAGTAATGCTAATCACTCTGAGTTTAAACTTATCAGACCTGTTCATCAAATTGGTTGTATGTTAAGAAAGTATCATATTTCTACCATTTTTTTGCATCTTGTTTTTCCTTTCCTGTTTACATTCTGACTCTCCCATCATATCCTGCTTTGTAGTATTAATAGTTTTAGTGGTATGATTTTTATACTTCAACAAAATGAAACTCCAACTTCCACTTCGCTTTGATAAATAATTTGTATTCTATTGCCAATTTTGCAATGTCTACTGTCACTGAAATTAGTTTCTATCAAATTTTATTTTATCATTTTTGGTTGCAAAATATGAATTCCCTTTTTGCTTTTTTATCATTCTAATGTGCTAATCATTGGGTAAGTTTTTATAAACAACAAACATAAAAGAACAAGTAGACTTTATTAAAATATCAGGAATATTTACAAGTCTTTTCAAAAGTACTACCTACAGTCTTCAACTAACATTCAAAAAAAAAAACTTGTAATAAAATGTGTATTAAAAAGAATATAAACCAATATTTTCAGAGAATAAATAACTTTTGTATACTCAACATATCAAACAAGAATATATGAATTGTTTGGATATTCTACACAATAAGAGTATTCAGATTTTTACCAAGCGACTGTATAGTTAATAAGGAAAAATCCTTGTTTTCTTATTCAAAAATGTGTTGCTTATTCAATAGAATGATTTTTCGAAAGAAAAACATCTTAGTAATATATTACTACATGTAATTTGGCTTGTTTAAAATAAAGATGTCAACAAAAATGATAACCAAAAGTCCATATTAATGTGCCTTATTTGATTTATTTGGTAAAAATCTTACATCTCTTTTTTGATGTAGTTTACAATGTACTTCCTAATCATGCCTATAGGCATCCAAATACAACTTAAAACAGTTCCCATAGCTCTTCAAATTCTTCACTAAACCTGCTGATCATATCTTTATTATTAGTTAAAATTGTATTGTCAAAATTTTTACAAAATCCTTGGGAAGTCAGGTTCAGACTACCAAAAAACATTTTAGCTTCATTTTCTTCATCCTTGTCTATTAGACAAAATTTATGATGCATCTTAGTGGATGATAGGGGTTGAAATTTGAATAAGATACCTAAAAGTGCATAATAAGAGATGAGACAGATTTTTTTATTAAGATATTCATGTGTTTTAGTACACCTCACTATAGGACCATGTAATTAGTGAAGCAGGTTCAACATAAGAATATATTAGATTTCTACCACCAAACCATTTTAGTCATGTTATATTTATTTACCTTGCTGTTCCATTTGTTGGAAGTTACATTTTACAGGTTTAGTGTTTAACATAACTTTATCAATAATTATTCTAACAGTCACCCCTCTTTTTTGGGCATCTACTAATTGTTTTACTACAGAAGACAATGTTAACATTAGCACGCAGAGACATATACTAGATTTTGCACTGGATATAAACTTCTGTATAGTTTTTAAGTATGCTAAAGAACACCATTCACCACATTCTACTTTGGTCTCGTATAAGTGTTGTCTACAATTAAAATTCTTCATATCTATTGCCAACAATTGATAGTAATAATTATTATCTTTTTCAACTAAAAGTTGTATTTTTCTTCTGTATCTTCTTTTAATAACATAAGTTAACAATATTGGCAGAGATATACTGGAAACGGAGATAAATAAACATAAAAATTTGTTCATTTTGACTGTGATAAATCTATTAAAAGGTTTAACTAAAAGTAGATGTATGCATTTTATGCCAGAAGATTTGAAAACAAACTATATAGATTAGACAAACTACATTCCATTCTAATATGTAACATGAAATTCGGGAACTATAATTCGGGAATTATAAACTAAACTAAAAACTAACCTTAAATTTATTTTTGTTTGTACAAAAAATTTTAATCGAAAGTTAGTCGATTGCTACAAAACATCGATTGTATTCGTTTAAACCATTCGATTCAAGTAGAAGTTCCAGTAAAGGCCGATTAATGTGTATTTTATAAATTTATTAATTTAAGTCAAATTTAAAAACAAAATGAATTTGTTTTCATAATAGCTTTTATAATCAATCTGAACATTCTGAACTAATATTTTCCAAAAATTTTTAATATTCGAAGAAATTGACAACACTGCTGCTGTCATTAGTCATTACAATTAAAATTCATTTCCAAAGGAATAAAATTGGAATAAACTTCTGTATTACCCGTTGTAATTCCGCTAAAAAATTATTTTCCAGATTTTTCTCTTCAATTTTTAAGAAAAAGAGGCAGAAAGAAGTAACATTTTAGGATCTAGTTAGTAATGTGTAATTTTGACTTTCTAACTCTCTTTTTGACCAATCATAGTTCAAATCCTCAAAAGATTGCAGAAGTCGACCAATAATATCTTGAATTTGTAACCACATGGAAACGAATATACACGAAGATGTTGTTCGGTTCTATTTCCTCACATCATCAATAATTTTTACTTAAAAAGAAAGAGATACTGACGCCATTACGATTATTTAGCTGTGTGGTGGTTGTTGGTTGTGTTATTGGTTGTTGTATTAAAAAAATACAATTTCCTATATTGCTGATTTCACCTGGAAGTTTGCTCCTTGTAGTGGTAAGATAAATTTAAGACAACACTATTATTTTATAGGTTTTTTACCAAAAATATTGCCGGCAACATGGAGACCTACGTCAATAATTGGATATGGAATTTACTTACAAAACGCTTGTTTGTGTTTCTTCTGTGTAAATAAATATATGCTTGTTTAATTTTTTTAAATGTACGAGTTTTGAAAGTATTTTAATGTAAAATGGGTTGTTCCAAGAATGCATCACTTTTATAAATCCACCATTTTGTTACTACGTGAAGTTTTTTTTTCCTGAATATTAATTAAAGCTAATAATTGCATTTATGGCTATTAGCATATACTTTTCTAAAGATCGGCATTTATTTTATTAAAACATAAAATTTAAAGCATTTCATAAGTGACATTCGACTCATCGAAATTTTTTATTGATAAAATAATTGTGGTGCAAGCTTGTGGTAAAGAATGATTAGACACTTTTAGATTACATAGAGTTAATATTGTATGCCATTTGCTTAAAGTCATTTATTGCCACGCAATAATACAGAATAAATATTGCAAATTATGGTCTTAAAGGCGTATACCACTTGAAAATTCCAGGCAGTCTCTTAATTTGGATGAAACGTTGAGGATCTGTTCGCGACATTTGCTTGTTTGAAATAGTTTGTACATCCTTTTAAACGAGCGTTTGTGTAGGATTATTATTTTTATACATCTCTTCCCATATTTCTTAGGGAATCTTGCAGTATCAATGAAAAATTCATAGTTGTTTTACAGCTTAACACATCTTATGATTTTAATGTAAATGAGAATAGGTCTACTAGGTGTATTCCCAATTTGGCCTAAAATTTTCATGATTTTATTTCCTTGGAATTTTAAGTCATCTGTCATGTACAAATTTATTTAAATTTTTGCATTATCAGACAAACCTGATTGAATGAAGGAAGATATCCCTCTTGTTTATATATTGATGGTTGGGATCACAATCTTTCTGTCTAAAGATGTTATAAGAGGCATTATAAATAAGTATTCCAAATGATTAATATACAAACCGCGAGGTATTTTTCAAATGCCTTCGTAGGCCTCTCTAATATTTCAGAAAATGGCTGGGGTATAAATATTTTTGTTTATATATTTTATGTATGTTTCATGGTCTTGATGTAAAAACTTATTAGGTTGGTACTTGCCACTTTTATAACAATGTTCATTGTCTAGTTCCATTCTACAATTTTAAGTTAATGAATGATTTTAAAAACCCACTGTCGGGGTAAGACCCTGTAAAATCTAGGATACAAAATATATGTTGTCATTTAGAGTTTATTCAAGGTTTAAACTTTTTGAGCAAAATTTGATTATAGTAAATATTGGAATATATTTATTAAAAACCTAATGTTTATATGGCTCAATAGCATAAATTCTTGTAGTATACTTTGAAAGTTAAGGGAAATGAGGAAAATGCTGTCTACAAACAAAACCATCAGAATTAATTTTACGAGAGTGAGTTAGTGCTCCTGACCAGCCTCTTAAATTGAAAGTTTTTATTAATGGATATCCATTACAGTCAGGGAGACTAAGTATTTCCAAAATATATGAACTTACCATGTCATAAAAATAATATCCATAAATTGACAATGCTAGATTGCTGAATGATTCATCTTTCCTTTCCCCAACATTGACTGGTTTGTAAATATCATCTGATTATCTATCTAATATACCAGGGTAAGCCAATATAAGGAAACTATTGTGTCTTCTTCTTCTAATGGCGCTACAACACTTTGTGAGTCTTGGCCTGCTTAACAATGTTCTTGCCTGATGTTCATGTTCTTAAGATCCTTCTCTACGTTGTCTATCCATCTTTTACAGGGCCTTCCTCTTGTTGTTTCCTTGGGGCTTCCATATCTAGACTACTTTTACAGCTAGATTATCTGGCATTCTTTCTAGGTGCTCAAGCCAGTTCAGTCTTTGTGACTTTACAAATCTAACAATATCTGTGCTCTGTAATCTAGCTAGTGGTTCATTTTAATTCTCCACAAACCATCACTGCATTGGGTTGGTCCAAATATCTTACTTAGTATTTTGCTATCAAATATTTTCAGTTGATTTTCATCAGTGGTTGAGAGGGTCCACGTTTCACATCCATATGTGACCACTGGTCTAATTATTGTTTTGTAGATTCTAAGCTTGACTCTTTTCATTAAGTCTTTGTATGCATAAAAGCACTTATTACCGCTAAGAATCTGTGCTTGTATTTCTTGACTGATGTTATTTATTATTGAGCCTAGGTAGGGAAAAGTTGAGGCATATTTGTAGGTATGTATGGTTGTCTACTTTCATATTCTCATATTGATTCGATTTTGTGCACTTTGTATATTTTGTTTTGCTTTCATTTATATATAGACCAAACGTAGCAGCTTCTTGTTTCAGTTCTATAGCTTTTTCGCTTAATACCCTTTTGTTGTGGCTTTATTATGGCAACACTATCCACATATGCACATATTTGTATTTATCTTGTATTAATACAGCCGTTTATATCCAGTTTTTTAACAACAGCTTCTAAAGTTAGATTAAAAAGTTTTGTTAATAAGGCATTACCTTGTCTAACTCCATTTTCAATCTCAAAGGCCTGCATCATATCTACATCTATTCTCACCATAGCTTTGGAACCCTTCTAGGATGACTAGGATCTAGAACCCTTCTAGATCTTCTGGGATGACTTCTAGTGTTCATATGCCGTCGATTAGTTTATGGATATGCCTCCATAGCGCATGTCCACCATTCTTTATCAGTTCTGTCGTTATTCCATCTGTGCCAGGTGCTTTGGTATTTTTTTTTTACATGTTTTATGATGTTTATCATATCTTCCAATGTTGGTTACTCAACTAGTTGTTCTGCTATGTGGTGAATTATTTCTTCATCTTTGTTTTGTTCTTTTTCTGGGTTTAACAGCTTTTGAAAATGCTCTTTCCACCTTTTCATTATTTCCTCTTGCTGATAAGTGCCCCATTTTTGTCATTGCAAGCTGTTGATCTTGTCATGACCCTTGGGTGTATTGCTTGGTTTCCTTGTAAAATTTTTTAGTCTCTCTTCTATTATTATAATCTGTAATTTATTGTATTTTTCTATTCAACATTTCTCTCTTTTTCCTTCTACATATTTTCTTTGCATCTTCTCTGAGATCTTCGTATTCCCTTTTATTCAATCGGGAATCCCTTTGTAGACATTTCTACTATTTTCTTGCAATCTTGGTCAACCATCCTTGTTATTTGCTGAGTTAGATCTTCGTATTCCCTTTTATTCAATCGGGAATCCCTTTGTAGACATTTCTTACTATTTATTACTTGCTGGCAATCTTGGTCAAACCATTCCTTGTTTATTTTGCTTGAGGTTTCACTTAATGTTCGCTTTACCATATGTTTGGGTGACATTCCTTTCTTCAATGTTGTTTTGTTCTCCTCTTTCGTTTAATATTACTTTTATTTACGTCAGCTATGATATAAGTGTTGTTAATTTAATTTTTGTCAAACTATTGTGTCAACCTAATTAAACAGGAAAAATGTTTAAAATGTATTCAAGGTATACAGCCAAGTAAAACACATGGTTTTCTTTGATGCATGTTGCGGGTAGGGCAAAATACCGATTTGTTTTTTATATCTTATATAATCTCTTAATTTTTATAATCAATTTTAATTGGTGGATTAATATATCTATGTATGGTTGTCACTCCAACTTTTTGGGTGGTTAATACTTTTCCGTTTGGTGAAGTATCCCTTCATATTTTGATCACTGTGATCGTCTCCATTATAATTATGTTATCACTCAATCTTTTTTTTTATTTATTTGAAAAAGTAAAGGGTGTAAACTTGTTTATACTATGTATCTTACATTTTATTCTGATGTGTTCACTTCTCTTAAGGTCACTTATCATATTTCCTGAAATTCTCTACTAAAAATATTCAAAGGTGAAAGATACTGCCCTAGTTCTAACCATAAATGATGAGTATTGCACCAAAACCATGATATGTAGTGTTATTTATAGGCATTGATTTCTTTTAGGGTCAATGTACTAAAGAGAATTTCAATTTGGCAAAAAAATTGTTTTTGAAACATGGTCATTTTCTGTTATTGACCTAAAAAGACCTTTATCAGCCAGAATACATTGTATTTAATGGAATTTTAAGTTGTTTATTATCCATTTATTATTAGTTTATTTTAACTAAATGTTTAGAATGTCTACAAGACTAAAAAAAAGTTTTCCAATATGCACAATAGGTGCTATAATGTAAAGTAGAGAAGTTCATAGTGACAGGTTTAAAAATATCTAATCATCTTTGTTTTTATTGTTTATTTAATCATTTTTTAGTTCGATTTGATACATATTTCCGGCGGTATCTCGCCTAAACGCATTCAAGGTTTGAAAGAATCTAAGACATTGTGTTGATTTAAAGAGTTTCAGGCGTGGTTCTAAAAGCAACAACGTCGTCGCCGCCGTGAAGTAGTGTTTGTACGTCGAAGAGCGAAAATCCCCAAAAATGCCGGGTTTTAGCAGCGCGGGTACCTTCAAAATCTTTATCGGAAATTTGGGCGAGAAGACCGCAGTGGCCGAACTGCGTCCATTGTTCGAAAAGTACGGAAAAGTCGTCGAATGTGATGTCGTCAAGAATTACGGCTTTGTCCATATGGAAAACGAAACTGACGGACGCGAAGCCATCAATAATTTAAACGGACATATGTTGAACGGTCAGCCGATGAAGTGCGAGGCGGCTAAGAGCCGGAAAGCCCCCCATACACCTACCACCAAGATCTTCGTTGGAAATTTGACGGACAACACGAAGGCTCCACAAATACGCGAATTGTTCAAAAAGTTCGGCACCGTTGTGGAATGCGACATCGTTAGGAACTACGGTTTCGTCCATTTAGAGTCATCGGGAGACGTTAACGAGGCTATCAAAGGTAAAAAACATCTTTCATTTAAACAAAATCTCTTCTCAGTAACTAGTTATGAGACTGTCGATGTTTTACGTAAAATATCGTTTTTAGTATGTAATTTTAGTTATACGATATTTTCAAAAGTACCAATATACCTTCAGTTCACATAATATAATACAAATACATTAAATACTTTTAATATAGTTGTTTGTGTAGTGTGCATCTTCGAGTTGCAGCATTGGTAAGTGTCTGCTTGTATATTTTTCATTATGTGTTCTTTACATAGTATTTTCCTCATCTTGTCAATTTTACAAGATGTCTGACAATTTTGTTTCCTTTTTTTTTTCAATTTATTCTTAATATTGTTAGCCTTAATGTAAATTCATATAAAATAAATCTCCAATATATCTACAATCTCCCATGGCCAAGAACATTTTCTCAATGAAAATTTGCTAATTATGCTAATGCATTTGTTTATTTTCAGTACTGAATTTTTTTTTCAATCTGTCAATGAGTTTCTATCATGCAGGAAAATTGTAATTTGATCCATAGGTTGAAGTAAAGCACTTGCATACTGTTTACTCAAAATTCAATAGGATTCTCATGTTATTTTATAAGAATAAGACTGTTCAATGGTAATATTTGGAATCTTAAAATTATTCAGTGGCCACTTCTTTATTAATAGACCTTTTTATACAGTTTTGTTTTTTAAACAAATGCACTGCACATTGCTTTTGTTTCCATTTCACTGACCCTGCTCAAGTAATACTTCATTTCACACCATACTTAAGCTGCATGGTGTAATAAATAGTAAATTTTGCAGCACCGGGAGTCTACTTGGTCTAGAACAGATATTAGAGGCAGCAATGTTAATTGAGAATTTAGACATAAGATATCCATGTTGTCTTTTTCAACCACCTGTGTTGCTGAAGTCAAGAATTACTATTTTTCTTTAAAACCCATTGCTTTAGACGTAATTCTTCGTAATATGGTTTCCGGTTTATTTGTACCATTGCCCGTTGCTAACCCCATCGTGAAATTTTATATATGCCAAAGTTCATGTAAATTAAGTTTTAATACGTCGACAGTCGCGTAACGTTAAAAGAAAAATCATTGATTAATACTAAAACTTGCAATTTGAAGAACTAAATGGTACCATGGTGGACGGTCAACCCATGAAGGTTCAAATCTCGACGTCGCGCGTACGTCAACGTCCCGGAATGGGCGATCCGGAGCAGTGCTACCGATGCGGCCGCGGCGGACATTGGTCGAAGGAATGTCCCAAAGGCATGGGACCCGAAAGGTTCCGCGAACGCATGTTTGCAAGAGACCCCTACCCCCCACCACCCCCGCCACCTTTCCTGCGCGACCGCATGATGGGACGATTTGGGGTACGATGTCACGTGAACATTTTTATTTTATTTTATTTTTATATTTTATTACTAGTACAGTATGTCCACATCTTCAAGTTACTTCTGTGAAGTAACTGTATTTGGCATGGCTATCCTTCATAGCAAGTATAATACAAGCTGTATTAACTTCATCTCAAGATTATTTAACCTTTATTAGATAGTACGAGAATTGTTTGATGACTATGTGGCCTAACTAATACAAAAGCAAGTGACGACTGAAACACCAATTCATTATTTTTTTCTGTTGTGTATTGAATAACTGGGCAAAATACTCACCATCCTTTTTTAAAAGATCTACCATACATAAAAATCGCAAGAATTAATGCCGTATGACACTATGCATTTTCTTGTATCATTTCTTATATCGTTTCTGATATAACAAAAAAATGGATAGTGTCATACAGGCGTATAGTTTCTTATATCAGAAACGATACAAGAATTTGTGTCCGCTGCATTTTCTTGTACAAGAAATGCGCCAATTTGTGCGCAAAGCCGCTAAAACGTAAAACTTCTTTCATGTCATATTGGCGGATGGAGGCATAGAGAAATAAAAATAATTATTATTTTTATTTCTCTATGGCTGGAGGAGAACTTTGATATATACCAGAGATATGTAAGTATCTCTGGTGTATACATACAATTAGGCCAAGCAGACATCAGAGAAAAGTGCCCACCAACAATAACGAAGATTAGAACATCAGTAGCCATATTGAAAAACAATAAATCACAGTGATTGTATCAAATAGCATCGGAACTACTGAAAGTAGGAGATGTTTTACTAAAAACAATACATAACCGCACTAAAAATTCGTGATGAGTTTAAAGATTATTTTATATCTCCAAATAAGAGAGTAGAGTTTAAAGAGCATACCATTCAAACACATAATTTAAAAAAAAAAAACAAATAAATTATTACAACCAAATTATTTATTATTTCTGTCTTCCATTACAACCTGTTGAATATCTTCAAAAATTGTGGTTTCCAATTTAGTTTTCATATTGGGACATTTTATTTCTTTCATTTTTGCACCACAGTATTTTTAAAAATAATCAGTAGCATATGTTCTCAGTCCCCAGTAGCTTGGGGTCCTCAGGCCCTTGTTCGGTGCCTCAGGTACTGCAGTTCTATTTTTATAGGTGTCAAAATTTCGACCAATCATGTGCCAATCACATACAGTTTCTGGTAAAAGAACTTGCATAGTGTCATACAGGGCAAAAATGTACGTACAAGAAACGATACAAGAAAACATAAATAACTTTCTATATCAGAAACGATATAAGAAATGATACAAGAAAATGCATAGTGTCATACAGCCTTTACAGAATAGTTGTTTTTAGCTTGTTCTTTTGGCAAAATCGTTATCCTCAAGTACTACAGCCGACCAGTAGGTGGTTCGGTACCATAAAGCAGGTTGAAAAGGGAAAGCATAACAGAGTGGCTGTAACTAGAGTCATAAATTATTTTTCGGTCGTTAATCCGAAATACGACAGGGTAAAACGACTTCACAATATAAATAATTATAATAACTTTTAACCATTGCATGGAACCAACTTTTTTTCATATTTGTAAAGCTTGTATTTTTCACAAAGGAGATCGGACTCTATGGAAAATGTAATGTCACTCAAATGCAATAAAATTTACGTGAATAGATTCGTCTCGAAATTACAATATTTTATATCATTGCGCCAACTCTAAATTTTGATTAATTATACGTAAATTGTAATTCATAAATACTGATAGTCGAGTCTCTATTAAAAACAGCTTAACCCAGCGTGAGCTAAGCGGATTAGAGGAACTATATACTTTGGTAATGGTACTTCGCCTAAATACCTGCAAATTGATTTATGTACTGACGATTAACAAAATATCTTTTCTCACTCTAACCCAGGTGCATATCAATTTGATTTTAGATTTATTTATATCCATTTACGCAGTTATTCAAATCTCGGATTTGGCGCAATGATATGAAATGATTGTAATTTGGATACTAATCTATTCATGTAAATTTCTCCTTAAATTAAAAAAAAATTGTTCTAGGACAAATTGGGACGAAGTTAGTTTGAGTGGACGGATTAAGCACTTGGAGAGATACGCTCTTCCCTCTTCTTTACCTACTCAAGGTCGCGCATGCCTTCGGGACTAGTTCTATATTATTCTCTAGCAATTTTTGAAAAAAAAAAATTCTATTTTTCGAAAAGTCTTGAAGGAACCTGGTCATTGCAGAATGGCAAAGGATTACCCCAGATTAGGTCAGATAGTTATCAATAATCCTCGCAAAAAATGTATTTTAAAACATTTAGCTAATTTCAACAATGTTTATGAAGGAAAGCCGTGACTGAAATAAATTTTACACATGTACACATAGAAAGTAAGTATAGCATACTGTACTTTTTATTTTCGATTCGTGTTTCAGAGTTTTATAGTACATAGTCATAATATCACATATTCATTTAAGAACACGCCGACAAATGAGACGTGTAGTTTCGATCTAAATTATAGATTAAACGAGCGCGCGTATATTCGCGTCCTATTCATTGTCTTCTTTCATGCATAACAGCTATTATACATAGCTAACAGGATAATTGGAAAGTTTGTATAGTACCATTTTTTCAAATTTGTGCCATTAGGTATATTTAGTTATTATATAAGCATTCTTAACAGCCTTTAAAACAGATAAATTCAGTATGATCACGTGTATCTGAAAAAACTGAGAATACAGTGAACTCTCTTAAAAGAACCGCACTGGTGCCTCATATATTGTTTGTCTAATAGATATCTATCGAAGGCAAGAAATGAAATATGTTAACTAAAAAAAAAGTACCAATATCTTGAGATTTCCACACAATTGAATTCGCACCCCCCAGGTTGTGGTGGTTGTTCACCTTTTTGGATCGTTAAACTCTTTGATATTTGTTTTTATACCAGCACACTATCCATACTTTCTCTGTCATATGTTTAGATAAATCATTAATCCTGTATCATGTTCGTCCATGGATGGGTGTGCATTCAGGTAGAGAACTGAAATCGGTTCACTTACGATAGATGCAGGAAACTTTTTCCGCATACAGTAAATATATCAAACTACTCACAGATGTCATTCGTTTTTTGAGTATTCGCAGAGAATACAGTTTTCTGAAGTTTCAGTAAATGCACAAAAGTTTTTAAACTACTTTCATATGGAATTTGTTTTATTGAAGAAATTTGTTTTATTCAGTAGAACTGAGATATTCACAGTTTCAGTAGATGCAGGAAAATTATCAGCAAACATTTTGATATTTTAGGACAAAGAGAATACAGTTCTGAAAGTGAGGATGAGTAGATTTTACAAAATGAGACACAAATCTACTATTGTTAATGAAAATATGTGGATAGACCCAAACATAAGTGGTTGATTATAAAGACTGAATAATTCATCAAAGCAGGTACTAATTCGATGTTGAATTGCAGATTGTGAGTTTAAATAATTTTATTTTATTTGAGCACAATTACAAAGTCTACCAAGTTTAAAAACTTTACCACTTTGCTATGTGGTATACGATGAGTGGTGAAATTAAAATAATTTTATGTAGAGACCCAACTGGAGACGTGAGAGTGTATTGCCAAATTTCTGACTGGAGAGTGTGTATAAGAATATCTTGTTACTGGTAAGAAGCAGCAATTTATAGGAACTCTTAAAAGAGGTAACATTAAGGATATTTGTTGTTGCCTTCTAGTTTGTACATTAAAACAATAAAACATTTGTTATAGTCGAATATTAAGAAACTTTTTAGTAAAAGTACAGCTACAAAAAATATAGATATATGGCAGAGAGCATCTTTATATTATAGTGAGCAGTTATTCCTTTCACTCAGAAACCATCCATAAATATATACAAGCTTAGAAGTTGTCAAATGTGTCATTTAAGAGAGATTACGGCATTCTTTTTAGATGCTTTTCTGGTCATATGGATTTATCAATTGTAAAGTTGTTTTAACTAATATAAGAATGCGAAATTTTAAAGGTACTGCACAAAACTTGAAAAACATATTTTGTATTTTAATGATTTTTGTTGATATTATGATCAGATCGTACTTAGTCTATAAAAAAGTTGAAATATGTTATATGATTAATAATGTTTTCAGATATCAATTGTCGTCACCATTTATAATATACAAATCATTTTCCATATTATGATACATTATTCCTCTGGAGACAAATTGGTCTAAATCTCATCACAATTCGCCAACCAATTAATGTATATCCTTATAGACGAGGAAAGCTCTGTACTATCGATTTTCCGTTTAGTATTTAATTCGTAATAATCTCTACAAGCTTTGGCCATATCTGATTTTTGAAGAAGAACAACTGCATTTGTGTATTATAAAAATGCATTTTTAAGTATTCAGTGTTTAAAGATTTATAGCTTCATGAACATTGATGATAAAAATGACTAACAATTTTGATACTCGAAAGGGTTTTTGCACGAACGAATCTAGTTCCCGGAATAGGGGGCATTATCGCCGTTTTATCATGTTTTAGATTGAATACTAATACCTTATGATAATGGAATTGTCCAAATTATTTTATTATTTTCGTGTTCAGCGACCTCAAACCCCCTACACACACACCAAGTAACAAAATCGGGACTTATTTTTATCAATATTCATTGAGTTGTAAATTGTCACTACTTTTTAAAAAAATACACTTTTTAAACGCATTTTTCTAATGCACAAATGCATTTTCCCATTATCGCAAAGTTTGTAGATTTTTTACGAATCTAATGATTCAAATCCGTCTAATTTTACAGAAAATGATAGCAATGCATACTGTTGTGCTTTATTTTCCTGACTATTAATACTTCTTCTATTTGAAAAATGGAAAAGTTTTCTGCGACTCACTAAATCTTTATTTGCTCCAAATCCTAAAATTTTAAGCTCATTGATACCTAGTAAATTTTGAAATATTTTTGTGTATCTGCCAGTTATCTCTTTGCCAGCCACTATGTATTGATATTTTTAACCTATTGGTTATTGAAATTATACCAACTTATCTTTCCTTTCTAGTTTGTAAGTTTAAATAACTAGATCCATTACCAACTGATCTTACAGTATTGTGTGAATTGATGTGATATAATTTGCAATAAAACATTTTTTTGTACTCAAAAAAAGGACAATTAAAATCTTTTTGTAGGAAATCTTTGGCAATCTTGGCTTTTATAACTTTTACAACAAGTTGGAATATAATCAAGTTTTCTTAGAATATATAATTTTCTATTTGTTTTCGTCTTATATAAGCACCTGTATGTTTCTTGACAATTCTGTGCGTGCTGTGGTTTTGTCCATGAAATATGGTCAACTCGGTTCAGTTTCCAATATATGACTTACCAAGTTCCTCTATTTTATTAGTTCATCAAGCCGTCTATCGGCACAATAAATCTAGTCCATACCTTTATAAGAAATATAGCCCCAGAACACCTTCAATGGATTTTAAACTTTTCAATCAATATATAAAAATTTTTATACCAAAAATGGCTCCTATCTGGAAATGATATTTTTTTCCAATCTTTAATAACAGAAATGCGACACGTCATTACTCACTTTCTGTCAGAACTTGTTACAATTAGACATAACGTGTTGTTAACTGCTAAAAAAATGTAAAATTGTGAAACAATTGTTGACTTTAATTTTCACAATACTGTATGTTGTTTCCTACCACAATCTAAGTTATTTCTGTTGCTATTCCAAAATATTTTCGTTATAATTCTTTTATTTACCCTAAAAAAAATATAGAAAAGATTTATTTTGTTTTATTTTTGTTGTGTTTAATACTTATTTTTAACTAGGATGGCTACGATGGCTACTATGACCGTCGTTTCGAAGATTCCCGTGATCTGTATGACCGTCGCTATTCCGGAATGCCGTCTAGCCGTGAGGTGGGCATGCGCGGTGCCGCAAGCGCTCGAGACTTTATGCCGCCACCACTTCCACCGCGCAGAGAACCTCTGCCTCCTATGCCTTCCATCGGGTTGAGAGGAGGACCTTCCAGTGGTATGGGCGGTAGTCTAAGAGACAGCGGTTTTTCGAGAAGCGCCAGCGATTATGGTATGTTTAGCAGGAGATCTCCACCACCTTCCGGAAGTTTGAGGAGCAGTAGGATGTATGAGGATTTTAGCAGAGACTCATTTGATGATAGGAGGTGAGTTGAGTTTTTTTTTGTTCACTTTTAATTTTCCAGATTAAGTAACAGTTCTTGATATTTTTTAACTAAGGTGCATTCGTCGTTCTAAATGTTATCCCTACACCTTTCATTTTATTAATAGATGAAGAAGCTTGAATTTTGGATTGTTCGTTTTTTTTTAGTTATCAATTATAGTGTTATTCTCTCCTTTTTCTCTTCATTGGCTATTCTATATGTCCACTTGATTGTTCAAATAACACAGCAACTTGCTATACTTATTCCACACTCACATCTGCCTGTTAAAACATAACATCTTACACATATATCCCATTCACAAGATCCACATGAATCTCACTACTTGGAAGCACCTTTTTATATATAGATAATGTATGGTGTAGAATGCAGGAAAAAAACGTTTGATCAAAAAAAGAGTAGCACTATTTGTATTTGATCATATTCAACTTCTATTTGATTCTAAGATCTACACTTAAAAATATAGTTCGAACAGTACACTGCTCCAAGAAATTAACGCACCACTTTAAAACTTACCTTACCTTATAACATTAAAATATTAACTGAAATGAAACGCATTTTATTTCGTATTACTTAACTTTCTGAAACAAACGGATTTGGTGATTTCGCTAACCATCTTAAATATTCATAAACTTAATACTAACTTAAAACAGTGAACAATAAAATCGCTAATTCTAAAAATTTAAATTGTTCAAATTGTTTTGCTTAATAAGATGTATTTTCACACCTGTCGCGAATGGCAGGTGAGTATTGATGATTCATACTGGAAATAAACAGTCTTTAAGTATTTCTCATCTAGTTCATTCCAAATTTGGACAAAGCATTGTTCCAGTTCCTACAGCGTGTTTGGGTTGATTAGGAGAAGCAAGTTGCAAACATTCTCTAAGGAGTGAGATCAGCACTATTTATTGGCTATCCCATAACTCGATTCCAACTTCCTCTAGATAATGTTGCACTATAATTGCAACGTTTGGTCATGGTTCCTCGCATATTGTACTCAATACTGTTTATTCATGTTACACACAACAAACATGTACAAAACCTCAATTGAAATTAAAATTACGTTGTAAATATTCATTAATTGGATAAAAGGAATTTTTTATCATTTTATTGTCCAATACCCTGGTTCAATTTGACCTTTTCAGACGCCAATATGCTGGTATCATATTCTGGTTGTGCCTAGTATCGTAACCATGCTGATCTTCATGACTTCTATAAAGACTGGTATTCCTCTTCATGAAAAAAGAGTTTTCTAGAATGTACTATGCTGGTACAGTAAGAAGTCCCAATCCTTCACAAGCCTGACGGCAGTCTTCCGTAAATCATAAACCAGCAAGGACCCTCACTGCCTTTCTTTGCAAACCAAAGAAATACTCTGTGAGTGTTGGTTGCAAGACACCAGACAAGGACAGAGTATGAAATATGTGAGTGGAATATGGAGTGATATGTAGTACATATAGTCTTCAGTAAGATGCATTTTGAAAGATCTTTCAGAAGAGACTTTTATTTAGTTTTATTAATATGTGGGCCCCACTGTATCTCGCCGACTTTTTAGCATTCATATCACCCATATCTCTCATTGTGAAAATCACTTGTTAAGTTTTATTGTTGTTCAGAACCAACCTATTTGCAGAAAACCATTGCTGTCATATGCTGTGCCACCATAGTGTCATATCCAAAAAGTGTATATTTAGTCTTATCTTCCATGTTTGGAAGATCGTTTATATAAATCAAAAATAAAATAGGGCCAACCCTCACAACCTGTACCATATTTTTCTGCAGGAGGATTTCATGGTTGACCAAGTCAAAAGCCTTTCTCAAGCTACACACAAAGAATGATTTAAATTGAAGCTTATGAAATGACTGAAATATACAATATAAGGTTTAAAATACCTGAGACTGTATTTTTATTTTTGAGAAAATCAAATTGACATTCAGAAATCATACCATTGACCTCAACAAAATCTACTATTTGTAGTGGTATGCACTTTCCCACAATTATTGAAATGATTGTCAGTAGTAATTGACAAATTATTGCTTTTTAAGGACATGGAAGGATGCTCTCTGTGAAAAGTAATTATTAAAGATATTTGGACTGATATTAAGGAGGTTGGCTAGTATTTTTATAACACCACAATGTTTATTTATGATTTTCCACATAGACTTTATTGGATTACTGAAATTCCTGCTGAAGTTGTTATTTGCCATGATTTTTGCATTCTGTATTGCAAGTTATATTGTATTTTAAATTTAAAGTCTTTATAGGTCCTCTCAATGTCTGGTGACTGATGTTTTTTACACTGTTCTAAAAAGTGCAGTTGATTGCGTACAGCTTTTAAGTCATTATTAAACCAATTAATTTTATTAGTTTGATTAGTCCTTACCTTATACCTCGTCTCAGAGAAAGATTCCAAATAAGCTTCTTCAAGAACATTCATAAATCTGTTAAACTTCTCATTCACATCCATTTATCTCACATTCAAAGTCACAACTTATTTCAGATATTCTATGATGATACAGAAATAGACCTTTCTGTGTAATTGGCCTGAAATTATTTTTTCTTTTTAATGCTTATCAACTTAATGCAATGAAAAACCAAACTGTTGTTCTCTGTGGTCAGAGAAACCCAGTTCACATACTCAGGCCATCTCACACTCTATCTCAGAATCCAGGAAAATGTTGTCAAGACAGTTTTCTCCTTGAGTCAGCTCAAAAATTATTTGATTTAGATTGTAACCTCTCAGTACATCTTGTACCGTGGTTGAATTGATCTCATTTGTACAAAATTTGACGCTGAAGCCAAGACAATGGGTTTCTCCATACCAACACTTACCAAAAGTGTATCTAAAGATGTTAAAAAGGTGACAAAAGTGCTTCGGTATAAGCATATAATACTTACATTTATCATCTTTAAAACAATCATACTATTCCATACACTTTTCTTAGTTAAAATTCACCCTAACAAAAATACATGTTCCTATTCCATCTGAATCCAATATGGCTGAAAAGCTGCTAGTTTAAATCCCTGTAAGTGGACTGCTTGAATCTACACTGTGCGTACCGTTTATTGTGACATTATTGTAAAGACAGAATTTATTCTTATCTGTTATCTATTATCTATTCCAATCAATCTCCAACCAGTGGACATGAATTTGTGCAAATTCTAAACGCGCTCTGCAATTAGCTACAGTCAAGGCTAGTCCTCTGGCTGGTATACAATTAACCAAAATTCCTTCCCTGTGGCGTTGGCGAACAGTTTTACAGCTGATTTGAACATTATGAACACCTTCAAGTTGGAATTGTAACCTTCTAGCCTTCTGGTACTTACAAATCATTGTTACATGATGTTGGCCTTGTCCTGGACACCTAAAGTGGCTATTGGTCTCTCTGTACTGTACTGTTCCATCGGTAAGACCAATGTATGCTGTACTCCAAACCATTCCCCTAAATGCCTGTAACTCAAACCTTCTTCCAAAACCACTATTTGAGCATACTCTTTATTAATCAAATTTCTCGATTCACGTTACATTTTGATTCAATACAAAAATTAACACATTTAAATTTAAAACACCAATGAATTGCTTTGTGTTTGTAGATGGTGCGTTAATTTCTTAGAATAATGTATTAATTTAATTATTATAATACAAATAACATATTTGTTTAATATTTAGGACTGTGCAAATTTGTAATTTACAACCAATAATCTATAATTGCAACTGAACAACGAATTTTTGTTTCAGACCTGGATTAAGAGGACCATCACCTCCAAGAAGATATGCGCCATATTAAAGCGGCTTAGTATGTATGCAACGGCCAGTTGCCAAGATTACATAATTCCTGACTTTTAATTTAGTGAAAACATTTCTATTTACCTATATGTCACGATAATGATTTATCATAAATTTAGGTTTGTATTTGGCATACAAAGAACCAAGCGTGACACCAAAGTGTGAAGTTAATTTTTAAAATTCTATGAATTTTTATCAATTCTTGATAATTTAAAGTCCAAATAGTCACATCGTATGATACTTGTGTGTGTAGTAGATTAAGCACAGAACAAGGACAACATTTAAAAACATACATAGAAAAATCCATGAACTTTGTTGTTGATACTTAATTTATTTACAAATATTTCTATTACTTCATAAATTGTGGTAAATAGTTCTGTGTTTATTATAGATTTGTTTTTTATTACTAGTGACTAATGACATTTTAAAAATAGGTATTTAATATGCTGATTTGAATCTCGTCCAATCAGTTTCAAAACTTTTGACATCAGGAAATAATATTCAATGGTTGGATTTGGTGAAGTGGAAAAAATTTAAACGATACCTATTTTTATGATATTGCAAATATCTTTTTTATGTATTAGTGTAAGAGGTGGTAAATAAAATACTGCAATAAGTTGACATGTTGTTTTATTTGGAATTCTATTTTGGAAATAATTTAGTAGTTAAATCATTTCCTTTTGTTGATATTCATTTCTTATAACAGATTTGTTACAATGACGTTGTAACATAATTTACATTGATACAATTTCCGCAGTGTTTGTACTATAGTACCACAATTTGGCAATGGGGTCCAGCCCAAAGCGACCAATCCACGGTCGCTTTGGGCTGGACAACAGGAACGAAAGGGGTGAGATGTTGTACAACTACTTAAACAACGAAAATTTATTTTGTCTCAACACTTTCTTTAAAAAATCTAAACAGCGTAAATGGACATGGATCAGCCCAGACAATAAAACTAAGAACGAAATAGACTGCATACTTTCCAATAACAAAAACATATGCACCGACGTGACAGTTCTAAACAAATTCTATACCGGGAGTGGCCATAGATTGGTTAGAGCGAATATTAAAATACAGACGAGAGTAGAACGAAACAAACCACCGATGTCGTGATTCAAAAACAAACGGAATACAAAAAAGAGCTACACAACTACAAAAAACACAAGATTAAAATCAATAGACACTGAAATAAGTGGATATAAACGGACTAGCCAATAAAATAAAAGTAACTGTAACAAAATCGGTTAAAAAAATATGCTCAAACGCGAAAACAGCCAAAACATTTAAACAAAAACGTGAAGAAAGAAATATAGAACGATCATAGAAACTATACCAACAATCTAATACAAGATAACTGCAATATAAAAGTACTAAAAGCAAAGCAAAAAACTTGAGCGGCATAACAAAAATCATAGAAATGAAAAAGACGTCAGCGTCCGAGACAGAAAGGAAATAAGCGAGGCCATTAAAAAATTCTACACTAAATAATTTTAAGTATAATTATTATACTCTGTAAATACACAACGGCATACTGAACGAATAATTAACACCGGACATAACCGACTGAAATAAGAATGGCCCTAAATCAGCTAAAAACGAATAAATGTCCGGGACAGGATAGAATTAAGAGTTGAAATGTTGAAAATTGGTGGCAGAAAAATGGAACAGGTATAATATTTTATTTAATAAAGTAATTGAAGGAAAGATTCCTCAAGAATAGTACAACTCCGAAGTCATTTTACTATTCGAGAAAGGAGACATGGAGAATTTTATATATATATATATATATATATATATATATATATATATATATATATATATATTATATATATATATATATATATATATATATATATATATATATATATATATATATATGTCTTCATATCAAGGCGAGATCCGTTTGTATCATAAGCTATACAAAATGAGATCCGTTTTGCAAGGCGAGATCCGATTTTGGATCTCACCTTGTATTCACGTGTATATAGTGATATCTCGATGTAACAATGATGGGGGTACAAAGAAATCGATTTTTGTCTGGACCTCATTTTGCACCCCTTTTGGTGAATTTTATATTGCAGTAGTTCCACTAAATCCGCTGTAGAGGCAGTGCGAGCGATCCGTTGTGTATATGCTAAATATACATTTTGTAGACAACCCGAGATCCGGTAAATTTGGCAACATCGCAAATGAATTTTACAGTCAGACCTCTCCCTCGCTTCGGCTTATTTCCGGTTTGAATAATATTATTTACATTATTAAAGAGCTCTGTCCAGAAAGGCGATTGTCTAACATTTCGAGAACTAGACGTCGTATCGAAGAAACTTAGGAATTTTTTTTTAATAGTTTTTCAAAATCTATATACTTATGCAATACCAGGATTCTTATTCTCCCTGCGAACGCGGTGGGTGTAGCAACTTTGAATTTTCAACTGGAACCCTTTATTTTTATTTAAATAAACATTTTGAAATTATATTAGAACTATTATGGATATAGATATAAAATTAGAATAATTAATTAAATTAGAAATTTAGAGTTGAAAATACACAACTTTTGTGTGAATCTATAATAGCTTCTTTAACCAGTGGGAAGAGCTTCAAAATCGTCGTTTTGATGACATTTTTAATCTGAGTTAGATGATTTTAAGTAATTTTTTAGATAAAATTATGTAGAACACGTTGGTAAGTAAGTTCTTCGCATATTTTCTCCACTGTTTGTTTTACACAAAATGTCAAAAACTTATTTTAATCGCTTTTAAAAGACCTACAAAATAAAGCTAACCGCGTTCAATTTGAATGAGTTACAAATACAAATCTGTTTTACATATCATTTATAATTAAGGGACCAACTATGCTGTTCACGTACTATGTTAAGATTCCACGGGAATATTTTTCAATATATGTACTTCATTTATGCTAAACTTGGACACTGTACGTCAAATAGTTTACGAGCTATAGCTTTATAAACAAATTAACTTCATATTTTTTTTAAATTCGTTTACTGAAGAAAATCCAAATTTAGCTATACAGCTCGCACTCCCTCGTAGGGGAAAATTCACTCATCCCAGTCACCCACGTTATCAAAAGGATTGACCTGTGGGACTCTTTCTGTGTTCGATTCCTAGGTGACTTGGTACATCGGGGTTTGTCCCAAAAATTTTCTTACATTATTATCTAGTATTATATAAAGCTTATTAAGGACGTTGTAACGGCGTTAAAGTTCAAAAGCTTGTGATATATAAAACATCTAAATTTGCAACGGTTTTTCGCTGGCAGCAAATTTCACGTTCAGGAACAAAGGATAGTAATAAAACAATTAAATCTATGTACCTATTTCTTAATTATTATCTTGTGTTAGTTATCTTACTCTATGTTAGACTCTTCATTACTATAAAAAGAAGTAACACTCTCTATGGTTAAAATTGTTCACGTTTATCACCTTTTTTGTAACATTTCACTTGGGCCATAATATATCTACAAAAACCAATGAATTTGATCTCGTTTCCGTTTACACGAGTATTTGAGCCCCCGTACAGTCTGATAATTTAAAAAACCAATACAATAATTATTCGTCACAAAAAGGTAAAAATAAACTCATCTTTTACACCTATTAGGAGTATAGTATATGTATGCATGTTTCTTCAACTTGGATTCCGTGCTTAAAACTGGTACCAGCTCTACATTTTCTTTACTCCAGCCAGTTAGCAGCAACAGATCCGGCAGTCAAAATGTTGGTGTCACGCTACATACTCATACCTTCGTTTGGATGAGTATGTACACGAATATTATATATTATACTGTCTGAAGTAGGAGAAAGTTTATATGTTTATATGGACCAGTACAAAGATTGTTAGTACTGGTCAAATACTAAACCAATCCTTTTAGGGTTGTAGAGGTTCTTGAACACTATTGATTTTAAAATTCTTGCATAGTCGCCAAATGATTTGCAGTTGGAGGGTTTGCCAACGGCTTGGATTAAACTCATACCTTCAAGAATGTGACACTTTTGTTACTTTATAATGGTAATGGTAGATATTTAGACATAACTGTAATTTGTCCTATTATATAACCTAAGGCAGATTTATTTGATGGTATCGATAAAACTCTTACAGGTACAAGTGACATTGGATGTGCTGTAAATTCATATTTGAAAATATTCTCATAATATTTATGTTACTTTCAATTGCCTTGGTTATTAATATTTTTTATAAAAGCTCTTGCTCAGCTTAAATAATTTTTTTCTTTTCAGAGACAGTTTTATAGTTTTGGAAGTGTTGAAAGTACTTCTTGTATGCTGATAAAAATTGGGAGCTCTAACAGTAAGAAGAAATTTTGCTAAACTCTTCTCCATTTTTTTTGTTTATTTAAGTAAGGGTATTTAAATATTTGGCAATGCAATCTCATTAGCTGAAATTACGAGAAGACAATCTACGCTTTTGAAAAATACATTAAATCGTAAAGAACTGATCATGCAGTTTTTGTACAGAATATTCATTAATTTTCATCCGTTCATTTTTTTTTCTACTTTCTACGTTTTGACTTGAGTGGTTGCTTAAGTCTCATGATGCACGAAATTCATCTACCATCATGCCAATCATATTGTAGCTTAACAACCATTCGTCTAGTTTTGTGTTGGTTTTAGTCAATCCCACGATTCCTCCTGCATCTTTTGAGTTGTATTTATATGTTTCAAGCTGGATCTACAAATAGTTGGTTAAAGTTGCTGTTCAAACTTTTCACAACAAAATTTCTTCTCATAAAGTCTTCATGTAATTCTGGAGCCTTATCAGCAAGTTTGTACATGTCCAACAAATATAATGTTCCCAAAAAAAAATAGTTCACATGGTCAAATGCAAAGAAATAGGGGTACACTTTTCTAAAACTAGAACAAAAATGTATTCTCTAGTTTCCGCTTCTTTCAGCAAACTAAAATGGAAATGGACTTTACGGAAAGAAACATGCCGTAATCTGATTTTTGACTCAAGTTCACTGTTATACCTGCTGCTGTTCATTAAAATAATTTAAAACTTCTAATATTAAAAATCTCAGCTCAGTGGATTTTGTGCTATTAGTAAAAAATAATGCACAATGATGCACTTTCGCAATCGAATATACAACACAACAGAATTTCAATGTAAAATCGACCCTAACAACATCGCCATCACTAGAGTCGATTTAAGGTTGACTTCAGATTATGAATATCGCCCTTCCTCGCATCTCTGCGTTTGAACTCTGCGTCATGACATGCCGTTCAATTTATTTAATTTTTTTTTAAACTATTTATCCAATCGACATTCTAAACAAACCGACATGTTCTCTGATGTTTGGTCTATAAGTTTTATAGAAAGCCATTTTTGCTAGACCCAATATTTTTCGGGGTAGAGCGAGGAGAAACGATTTTAAAAATATGGGTTTTCAGACTCATTCTAAGTCATTTTGTATGAAGGCACTCCGTATACAACAATGGTTTGACGTATTTTTATAAATAAAATAAAAATATTTCTAATGTCCGGATCGATATGCAAATTTGAAGAATGAATTTTCGGATATCGTAGATCCGAAAAATGACGAAAAACAAATTAGCATTTTTTTTGTAAGGCTCTCCACCACTCTCCTCGC